GGGGGCTAAGTCCACAAAGGAAAAGAGCCCAGAGACAGTCTTGAGGCCATCCACTAGGTACCAGAAGGAAAGCTGAGGGGGCACCAAAGACAATAAAGGTGTCTGAAGAGGCCACACACGTGTGCACCTGTGTGTGTGTTCCGGTCTGAGGTAGAGTGGGGTGGGCCTCAAACATCCTAAAGAGCCATGGTGAGGGGGCTTAGCTACTAACTCTACCACTCCTAAACTGGCCATTGGGGCAAGATAATTGACCTTTAGAGCCTCATCTGGGAAATGGGGACAACAAACCCCGTTTCATACATAGGATGGTTAAGAGGTTACATGAAAATGTTTATTAATGGGTAAGTAGTAAATATGAAAGTAATGGGTACTGTCAAAATGTGTGTTTCCCTTCCTAGCGTTACTTATCTGTAAAATGGGCAAAGTGGTCTCTCCTTGTTTCATGGACAGGCCCATAAAGGATAATAACTGCAAATATGGAGACAATGTTCTTGAGTCCTCACTGCAAAAACAAATCTGAAGCCTTGGCATCTGCTAGGACATGAAATGTTTTGGCAGAGGGTTTCGATGAGTTTGAAGAAGGGGTGACTGGTTCTGGGTTTGAAGGTACCACATGTCTGGATTGGTGAGCCTCCTCTTCTTAAGTACATTCTCCCCCACTTTCCTCCAGGCAAAATTGCTCAGCAGTGTCCAAGCACTCATGACCCAGGGCAGACTTGGCAGACTCATGAATTGCCCCCCCCCCCCCCATCCTTTGGAGCGCCTATAGAAAAGTACCATAAACTGAGTGGCTCACAAACTACAGAAGTGTATTTCCCACAGTTCTAGACATTGGGAAGTAGACGATCGAGGTGACAGCAGACTCAGTGTCTGCCGAAGGCCCACTCGTTCACAGGAAGCCCCCTGGGACCTCTTTTATGTTTTTTTTTTAAGTTTATTTATTCCAGAACCAGCAGATGGCATAATGATTACATCAGTGGACCCCTACATAGTTGACCATGGTTTGAGTCCCAGACCCAGCAGCTTAAAACTCAAGCCAGAAGCATGTGCGTGCATGCCCAAGATCCCAAAAAGAGATTGGAGGAAAAGGGGTGGTAGCATGGCCATCCTCCCTGGAGGATAATTTCTCACTTTCTATCTCTTTGTCTCTCTGGCGAGCATACCTGCCCTATAGCAAAAATCTTTCTCTAAAAAAAAGAAAGTTTATTTATTCCATGAGTGAAAGAGACAACACAATACCCCCAACAAGGTCTTGATGTTGGGATGTACCCCCAGCCTTCAGCCAATCCTGGATGATGGGCATATACATGCCCATTGTACTCAAGATCTCCAGATGCAAACCTTGAACCTTCCCATGTGAGTCAGCCTCACAGAGGGTCACATTTTACTGTTGTACCACCATTCATGGGGCTCTTTTATAAGGGTGCTCATCTCATTCACCAAAGTTCCATCCCTATGACCTATCACCTCCCAAAGACCTCGCCTACTAACAGATTGAGAATTTGTAATCTGAAAGTCCACAATCCAAAATACTCAGAACGTTTTGAGTGTCAGTATGACATCATACTGGAGAATCTACACTGACCTCATGTGACACATTGCAGTCAAAACACTGCAACACAAAAATATTGTATAAAATTATCTTCGAGCTGTATGTATAAGATGTATATAAAACAAATGAATTTCATGGTTAGACTTGGGTCCCATTTCCAAGGTATTAGGTCATTAGAAAAGTTGTGAGATATTTTTATGTCTTTCTATGACTTTTCTGATAACCCAATGTCTCATTGTACCTATGCAAATATTCTAAAATCTGAAAAATGCCAATATCTGATAGAGCATTTTGGATAAGGGATACTCAACCTGGAGCCAGGAATTTGGGGAGGTCACAGACAGTCAGTGCACACCTCTAAGTGAGCATCTGTTTTCTGTAGACATGGCTTTGAGAGATGCTTTGCCACCACATTTCCTCTCCCTACCCCTGCCTCTCACCCCTTAGGGCAACTCCCTCTCCCATACACCCCCATGCTCTTCCATCGCAGAAGAGAAAAGAGAGCACACAGAGGCAACACTGGGGACAACACGCTGCCCTCTCAGCCTGGAGGTCACGGGCTCCTCAGACACAGCAAAGCTAAAGCACTTCTCCCATCTCCTCCTCCCATGTCTCTCCTCAGCAGGTGGCCGGCCCCCACACATCACTCAGGTCCTTCTCTTGCTCAACCCCATGTGATCAGACCCAACACCTCTCCACCTCGGCTGCTGAGCCCCTAGCCCAGGCCTCCCTCTTCTCCCTAGACTAGAAGTTCTCAACTCTGGCTGCACATCAGAATCACCTGGGAGACATTTAGAAAATACAGGTGCCCAGGCTGCCCCCCAAACTTAGACTGGGCATCATTGTTTTTGTTTTTGTTTTTGTTTTGAGAGATTTTTTGCTATAGGGTGCTTGTGTTTCCCAGAGAGACAGCGAGAAATCACCCTCCAGGGGGACGGCCATGCTGCAATCCCTTCTCCATTCTTCTCCCGGGATTTTGGGCACATATGCACACATGCCCAGCATGTTTTAAGCTGCAGGGTACAGGACCCAATCTGTAGTCAACTATGTAGGAGTCCAGTGATGTAACCATTATGCCATCTGCTGGTCCCCACATCATTGTTCTTTGAAGTTCTCCAGGCCTGGCTGTGGTGATGCCGACAACAGGCTGCTCCTGTGTGATACTGGAGCTGTGTGGGAGGCCCGAGATCATGCTGCACACATGCCTATGATCCTAGCTTGCTGGGAGGTTAGGAAGAGGCTTATGGCATGATGAGGCCCTGACAAGGGTATATCTCTCTCTCCTCTCTCCTCTCTCTCAATAAATACAATAAATTTTTAAAACAAGGAAAAAATAAAATTTCACAGGTGATGATACAGGTCAAGCCAGGATTGGGAAGTAGCACAGTCCTCGGTCTCTTCCTCTTGTAATCTGGTTTCTCCTTCTTTTTTTAATTGCCAGAAGTTATGTGCACTCACCAGATAGAGATGGAGGGACAGAGACAGAGAGAGGAAGAAAGCACTCTCCTGTAGGGTGTGGCCACCTGCAATCCCTTCTCTTCCATTTCTCCACCTTGTCAGGATTTGGTGCACACCTGCAGACCCACTGTGTTTTCCAAGCGACTGGGCGGAGATATGAACTGCAGTCAGCCACGTAAGATCTGGCCCCTTAACCACTAGGCTAAGGGGTTGGCCCCTGTCATCTGTTTTCAATCTCTGAAGTCAAAAACTGACATACCTGCTGGGGCCAAGAAGGTAACATGAAAGGATTTCCAAAAGATCATGAGAAAAAATGTAATTATAGTACATGTTTGTTTCGGTGCAAAAAAATTTTGAAATCCATGCATAGCTTTTTGAAACACATTTTTTATGAACTTTTTTTTTATATAAACTCATATAAGGGAGTGGGGATGGGGCTTTCTCAACTGAAGGGCGTGTGTCCCACTTAAAGAGAAGCCATAAAACCATAATTCTGCATAAAAACTCCTGGTTTTTAAATAATTCAAATTCTTTAAAAAGAAAATGGAAAATATGTCTGAATTAGGACCAGGCCCATATTGCCAGTGGCTTTTGCTTCTAAACAGAGAACAGAGCAATCTTTTGAAATAAATCATTGGCTTATGTTCCTCGACAGCTGAAAAACTTTTGATATTTTCCCACTGTCTAAAGCATTGGACATGACATTCAAGGGCCTTCACAATCTGACCCACATGTTTTCCACACTTCCTCCTAAAGCTCAAAATAATATCTTAAACATGATTCAAATCTCAAACTTACTTTTAAGCCTCTGTGCCTTTGCACATGCTGTTCCCTCTGCATGGCATAATTTATATGCAGTAAAATTCATCCTCCTTAGGGTACAGTTCTATAATTTTTAGCACGTATTGCTATGGTTTTGGTATCTCTCAAACCTCATGATATTTCACGAGATTAAGAAAGTCAAGGGACCAGCAGTTGGCATAACAGCTATGTTGTCGGACTCCCACGTAGTCGACCACAGTGAGAGACCCGGACCCGGTGGCTTAAACTCACGCCGGGCATGTGTGCGTGCTTGCCCAAGATCCCGAGAGGAGAATGAAGGCAAAGGAATTGCAGAGTGGCCATCCCCCCTGAGGGATGATTTCTCACTTTCTGTCTCTCTGTCTCTCTCTGTCCTTCTGGTGAGCACATGCACCCTATAGCAAAAACCTCTCAAAAAAAAAAAAAATCAAAATTTGATCCAATTATTGTGCTGAAGATTGAGCCTTCGGGAGGAGACTAGTGCCTGGGTGTTTAGAGTGGGATCCCCATGATGGAGTCCTGGGGGGTTATAAGGAGAGGAAACAAGGCAGACAGAGGCCACATGGAACACAGACGGAACTCTGTGCTTCTTTAGCCATGTTATGACCAGCCTGAGGCCAGCCCCAGACCTTTGGGCTTTCCAGTCACTGGAATCTTGGGTCAGATACACCTCTGCTCTTTATCAGTCGCCCAGCCTCTATTCCTGTTGGCAACAGAATAACGACTAGGACATCCATACAGTCAGTCATGTATGCACCACGAGAATCAGAAGACCAAATAGTTCTATCACCCACCTCCCTAAATCCCTTCATGTCTTTGTGGTTAGCGCCTCTTCCCACTCCAGCAACCACTGACCTACATAGTTTTCTAGAATGTCATTTACATGGTAACATACAGTGTGTGGCTTTAGGGTCTGGCTTCTCTCGCTCAGCATAATGCACTTGTGATCCACTCATGTCGTTTACTTGCCGAGTCGTGCTCCGTACTGCATCCCTTCCCTGGTGGAAAGGCATTTGGGTGGTTTCCAGTTGGGGGAGAGTATAAAGCTGCCATAGACATTCAGGTACAGGTATTTGCATGAGCGTAAGTTTCCATTTCATGTGGGTAAATAACTAGGAGTGGGATTATTGAGGGGTGTGCTAGGTGTGTTTAACTTCGCAAGGAACTGCCAGATCACTTCCTAAAGGTCACTCTAAAGTTGCCTGCATTTTTTATTTGTGTTTGTCAGAATTCTGGCTTTTTGTTTTAACTGCATGTAATCAGTTTCTCATTATTAACTCCATTTTTCCTAAGGGGAAATTGAGGCATCTAGAGACTAACTCTGTAAGTAACAGGCAGGGATTTGAACCCATATAATCTGGCCCCAGAGTCCATGGTCTTAACCATTAAACTCTCTAACCTCCCTCTCTACTCTGGTCACTTAGGGCCTCCAGCATAGTCAGGCCACAGGCCACACACATACACAGAGCACCTAGCCAACTGGTGCTCATGTCAGATCTCTAAGTGCAGTGCAGGGAGGTGCCACTCCCTACACCTCTCTGTCTCCTCATTGCCCACCTCTGTAGCAGCAGCACCAATGATTGCCAAATGAATGAATGAGAGAAGGAAGAATGGCTAAATCAGAGGAGGAGAGGCGAGTCCTCCAAAATCTAGAGCCCACTGTCCAAAGTAAGTGTGACTCAGGGTCCAAAAGTTAGGAAATGCTCAGCATGCATGCCTGAAACCCCCAGGACCACATCATGCTTCCTTCATTGTGTGTCCAGTGCTCACTGATATGCCTCAGCCTGGCTCACCCACCCCAAAGCTGAGGATCCAGCCAGCAATTGAAGCAAGGACCATTTTTCAAGCCAGTGCAGTGATTTTTTCTTTCCTGTCCACTAGCTCTGCGTTCAGGGTGGCAGCAGGGTTGGAATGATGGGTTGGCTGCAGGCGCTGGCTCCTGAATTATTAACTGGACTGGGGAGAGAGTTGCTTACTGATGCTGTGCATCCAGTGGACCGTAGCGGCCCATGGACTTCACACAGGCCTGGAGCAGGGAGGCAGGAAAGAGAGGGCTTTGGTCGGTGGACCTCCCACACTTAATGAATCTAAGGCCTCTTCCCTGAGTGCTCCCATGGTCTCCACCCACCATCCTGGAAGGAGGTCATCTTTCTCCCTTTCTTCACATTATTGTGCCTGTTTCTGCTGAATTCGAGCTCCTGACCTCTCCTTTTCTTCCTAGTCCAAAACCAGTGAATTGAATAGACTGAGTCTGCTGGTCACAGTTCTTTCTGAGTCAGGATCCTACTCGTAAGCAAGGTTCTCATTTAGCAGCTCATCATGGGCAGGGAACAGGGAGGAGAGTGTCATAGGCTGGGTCCCCTAGAAACAGATCTTGAGATGGGGATTCTTCTAAGAATGTTCTCAGTAGAGTGGGCAAGAAAAGCAGGATGGAGAGGGAAGGGTTAAGCAACAATGTGGTCTTGGCTGGAGACTGTCCTCAGCCTATCCCTCAGGGAGCTCTGGAATGTGAATTCACCACAAAGCTGGTCTCACTCTCAGTTAAAGGGGCCTAGCCTTTTATGCCTCTAGGCCTTGGGCTGGGAGACCATAACTCGCAAATGACAAAAAATGTTCCATCACTTAACAACTTTTCCCATGAAGAACTATATTTCTCCATCCCCGAATCTGGGTTGATACGATTTTCTTTGACCAAGCCTGGGCCCTGAGAGGTCTTGCAGCTTCTATTTTCACTCTTCAAACTCTGCAGCCACTGTGTGAACAAGCCTAAGCTAATCAGGTAGATGGTAAAAATCACATGGGGAGAGCCTCAGTACCCACAAGTCATCATAAACCATCCTGATCAAGGCATCCATGAAGAGTGAATTGGAGAGGAATCTACAGAAGATGTTGTAATTGCCTATTCAATATCCATCTCTTCCTCCTTTATTAGTATCAGAATGATTCACCAGCTGACCATGGACATCTGGACAAGGCCAGTTAAGATCAGTTGACTTTGACCCAGATCAGAACTACCAATTAAGACCAGTCAAACTGCTGACCTACAAGATCCTGAGCTAAATAAGAGGTGGTTATTAAGCCACTATATTTTAGAATTATTTGTTTCACAGCCCAAGCTAACTGATAATACTCTCTTCACTTTCCCTTTCTCTCAGAATAAAGAATGTTCTCACCATGACCACCCAGGGCCTGGCCTTTGCTGGCTATTCTAGACACATTACATACCATGTTCTTTCCACTCTGTGATACTTTCATTTCAGATCCATTTACCCTAGAGTCTTTGCATCAGCAATTCTTCTACCTGGAATGTGCTCTGCCACCTTTACTTGGTTACTTCCTACCTTTTTTTTTTTTTTTTTAGAGCTCAACTCATGTGTCACTTTCCTGGGAAACGTCTTCCTACATACAGATCCAGCCCCACTGTTGACACCCTCAGAGCGTCATGACCCCCCCTCTTTCATAACACTGAATTATAGTTGTAACTTCACATTTATTTGTGTGACTCTTTGTTTAAAATCTGCCTCACTCATAAGTCTTCACCTCCATAGGGAGAGACCGTGTCTATTTTCCCCAGCCATCCCAGCTAACTAGAATCGTGGGCACACGTGCCTGGCATGTACAAGTTGACCAGGGAGCTGAACCTGCAATCTTTCATTTGTTCCAGCAGCATGTCACTGTTGTGATACCGAGCAGGCCCAAATCAACAGTTGATGGCATTTTTAAAAGCAGTTGGAGTCATCCCCCAACCCCACTATGAATGGAAGTGGATGCACACACAGATGGAAGCAGTCACCTAGGGGAAGGCTGGGGCACAAGGCCTGAGCCAGTCGCTCCCACTTACCCATGTCCGTCCCCCAGGAAGCCCCAGCCACCTCCCAAAAAGCAGGAATCTGGGAAGAATAGTTGAAGATGATTCTGATAGTTGGGATTTTGAAGCCTCATCTTGTCAGCCCTGAACAACATTCAAACCCAAGGGCTGCAAGCCCTCGAGCGTGCAGACTCAGGCAGTTACCTGAGTGAATGTCAGCACCTGCAGATACATTTGAAAACGCTCCTTGGGTTGTACTCTTTCAACCCAAATAGACTTTGGTTGAATACCAAACTCTTAATTATTCTTTTTCTCCATCAAGAAACGTGTACTCTCTTTCATCTTGAAATAGAGACATTTTTCTACTTTTGACAGAGATGTAAATATCAAGAAATATTGCACTTTCCTCCTTGCTTTGTTGAAGACAAATAGTAGTGCAGGGATGACAGACAGCAGCTGTCATCAGCCTCAGAAAGGAAGGCAACAGAGGGTAATGGGGACTGTGGTAAGCCGGAACACCTGGGCTTCATCTGAGACGTAGCTACCCAACACCCGCCAATGACTGCCTTCTACAAAGACCCACTGTTGCCATGTGTGCCATTTCCAGGAAATGAGAAATGCAGACTTTTTCAAGAACTCTTCTGGTTTTAAAGGTTGGTGATTGCATTCGTTGGCTTGGCCTGCTATAACAAAATAGTACAGACTGGGTGGCCTAAATGACACCAGTTATTTTCTCACAGCTCTGGAGGCGAGAGGTCTGAGATCAAGGTGCCAACAGGGTTGATTTCTGGTGAGGCTTCGTTTTCTTTTATTATTTATTTGTAAGTGAGTGTGTGTATGAGCACACATGCAAGAGAGGTAGAGATACCCTTGATAGGGTCTGCCGTACCGCAATCCCCTTTTTGCAGCCCTCCAGCAACTCAAAATCTTGAGTACCCACAAGTGCTAGGCATGTTTTCAGCCAGACCCAGGGATCTAAACCTGTAGTCAGCGTGTGACTTCCAGCACTCCAGTTCAGTATGCTACAGAGTATGCCACCTACCCTAGGTCACTTTCTTACAGTGTTCTCTTATGTTGGGGAGAGAGAGAGAGGGTGCGATCTCTCTGAGGTCTCTTCTAATAAGGGCACAAATCCCATCATGAGGACACCACCCTCATGGCCTCATCTAAACCTCCCAAAGTCCCCATCTCCAAATACCATCACAATTGGAGTGTTAGGCTTCAGCATATGAATACTACAGGAGACACAACTCAGTCATTAGCAATGATTATTTACAATCTTTTTTCCAAACAAAACATTTCTCCATCGTAACACATCCACAGGTCCAGATTTATCCCAGAGCCACCAGTTAGAGATCTCCACTCTAGTAAGACTGGCCCGTAAAGAGGGTTCTCCTTGGAGACTGGCTGCCTTCCTACCCAAAAGGAAGGATCAGAATTGACCTGACAACTCAACAAAAGAGCTGGCTGGGGTGTCATTCTTAGAAGCCCTACATACTCCCTCCTGCCCCCAGAGAGAAAAGATACAGAAACACAAAGGCAGCTCAAGATTGGATGGGCTTCAGAAACTTGATGAATGATGTTTTTTAAAAGGATTACATGCACCCAGTTGGAACAGGGTGAGAAGGGTATAACCTAGCATTCTGAGGGTTCCCACTAGTGATGTGAACTGCCAAGGTCTCCCTTCAAAAAGGAGTCCCAAGAACTTTCTAAAACAAATGCAGTAGTGGTGCCAGCACTCTGCTTAAACCTTCATCGGCTCTTCATTGCCCACAGGGTAAAGCCCAAATGCAAATGCCTTAACTTCACTTTAAGGCCTTCTAGGATCCAATCTTTTATCCAGCCCTTCCCACACATGTCTCATGTCCCTAAATGATCCTCTTTCCTTCATTCCTCTGTGGCCCTTCTTTTTCTACCCTTTTCTCTCCATAGAAATCAGTTTCGATGTCTCCTCCACCAGTAAACCGTCCATGATCCACCTCCTGCTAAATTTAGGAGACCATTTTCTGTGCTCTCACTGTACCACCTGCTCATCTCCGTATTCCTCAGTCACCCTGGACTGCAGGTCCATTTCCCTACTGGAGGAACACTATCCTCAGTGTTTGGCACCACATATACATGCAGTGAATATGAAGGAAAGAAGGGGAAAGGTCTAGACATGGAAAAGGCTGCCATCCGACAAAAGCAGGGGGGCCTAGTTCTCCCAGGGAACCGAGGGCTCCATGGTACCTAAGGTCTCCTCAAGAGTCAAAGGCAGTTCAAAGGCAGTGTGACTCTCACTCAGGGAGGGGCTGATTGATCAAGATCACCAAAGTACCTATCGATAAAGTAGCAAGGAAAATGCACATCAGAACCCTGCAGTGTGGCCAGTTCTCACAGCTTCTCTTATCCTCTCTTCCCCACCGAGGGGTCAAGAAAAAGTCATGGTGATAGGAGTGGTAGCAGTGGTGGGGAGAACCAACACAGAAGGTATTTTCTCTTCTAGGTCTTTGTGGGCATTGGCCCCATGAATTATTCATCAGGAAATCAGCTTGAGGTAGTGTCTTAGTTTTAATTTTCAATTCCCCTAATGCTGGCCAATTCTCTGCTGAAAACCTCTCAATTATTAATGTTTCTAAAACAATATTTGTTTTCTCTGCATCTAGCAACAAACCAAGGCTTCAAAGCTAGGGATCCTGCCCTGAAATTCCCAGAGAGAGACTCGACTTGCTGAGGAGGCATTTCAAAGGGGTCAAGGGTGCACTGGGCTGCAGCAGGCACACTGAGAACATTAAGTCCACATGGAGGCAGGTGCTTAAAGGTTTCCCTGCTACCAGGAACTCCCAGGACAAAACACACTACAATAATAACAAAGGCAATTATGATCTATTGAGCTTTTATGTGCCAAATGTGAGGCTACAGACTTTACTTCTACCTATTCGGTTCTTATAAAAACTCTGTGTGTTTGGGGGGGAGGGGTTAAGATTTATCATTCCTATTTTACAGATGAGAAAATGAGGCTCAGAGAAGCCCAATCATTGACCACAGTTATGCAGCTCAAAGGTGAGAACAGGGTTTGGACTCAACTCTCTATAGCTCTGTGGCCAGTATATTCTCCACCATGACCCAGTGGGGTTGGCCAGGGTTTTAAATGCATCATAAGAGATGTGAAATATGACGAAGAACTTTCTGGAAGCATATTATGCTATTCTCAAAGAGCATTTGGAGCAAAGCATTGTAGGAAGGAAGCTGTGACTAAGGATTCTGGATGTGAGAACAATGGAAGTTGGGAAGTCTGGAGCTTCTGTAGGGAACTGCTCTTCATGTTTATGGTGCAGCCTAGACAGTCCCAGGCCTTGTCAGTAGCAGGCAAGAGGGTGAGGGACAGAAGACACATCCCCTTAAGCACTGATGAAAAGTGGCTGTGTGTCACCTTCAGCCCTTAGGGTCAGTCATGGACAAAGGGCGCCATTACAGCCCAGTCGAGCAGAATACAAAGGCTCATCCTTCCCTGTCAGACCAGCCCAGGAGAGTGCACAGCTGAGCCACCTCAGAGTCAGCCCCCCAGTCTCTGAGCCCACTCTACCCTCTCTGTGGAGTGGGGTAATGCCAGCCCATCCATGTAGGACTGTTGTGTGACACGTCGGAGATAATGCCCATGAGGAGCCAGGCACGCAGTGAGAGACCAACACTGCCAGTCTCCCTTCCCCATCTCTCAACTGACCTAGAGGCCACCATTTCAAAAAGACTTGATAAAGACAAGGAGAAGGACAAAAAAGAAACAAGCAGAGAAAATATAATTTTGTCTCAAGGCTCTGTAATTGCAAGGGGGGAAAATCCACTCAAAATAGCCAAAACAGAAGCAGGAGCAGGCGAGGAAAAGGAGCTTATTGTGAAGACAGTGCATCTCTAGAAGGACACTGACCTGGGTCTAGTTAAGCCTGCCAGCCAGGACCAGAACTGCTTCTCTCTCTAATTCCAATGCCTTGTTTCCCTGCCTCTGCCTGTGTCTGTTTCCTGCTCCTCTCTGCAAACTGGCTTTCCCTGCTTCTCTATGGAGAAAGATGGACACCTCATGGCATCCTGGTTTTTAATCCTTATTCAAGTGTCAGAAGCCTGATCGTATCACCTCAAAGTCTGATTGGCTCAGCTACTTTAAGGTATATATCCTGAGCTAATCAAGTGGGCTGAGGGTAGGCTCCCTGAATATAAACGTGGCTTCAGATGGGGAGGGAATGGTTGTCCCTCTATGGTACAGTAGGCAACCTGATGGTGTTTCTGTCATTATTTAGTCTTCCTTAAGTGTGGACTGGGCCTAGTGGCTAACTTCAAATGAGCAAAACATTGCAAAAGTCATGGGGTGTCACTTCCCAGATTAGGTAGCATAGACTTTGGCTCTGGCTCACTGGTCTTCTCTTGGCTCTTCTTGCTCTCTCTCCACAGCAGCCAATTACCTTGTTGTGAGCAGCCTATGCAGAGGCCCACATGACAAGGAACTGATCTCTGTAGTCAGCAGCAAGCAAGGACCCAAGGCCTGCCAACAGTCACCTGAGTGAGCTTGGAAGTAGATCTTTTCAGAATTGATCCTTGAGATGAACTTGGTCCTGGATAACACCTTGATTACAGAGTTTCTGACTGATGAGCCAGCTAAGACACATTC